TTGAGACTTATTGAAATATTTTTAAAATATTATCGGTATACAAGTTTTTTTCTAGAATAATCCATCCATCTAATACACTAATTACCTTGATATGAGATCTATATTGATTTCCTTGCCTATCGTTACACAAATTCTGTAAGTATGCGTGCAGGTAAAAAATTATTTGAACCAAGATCCTGGAAACATTATGAGCGCTTCAAATAAAATTTCATCCTTAATGCAGATGAGATTATTATGCGGTAATTTATATAAATATAAATACAGCTCACTGAACAATTATTTTTTAACAAAAGGACAAAAACTCACCTCCTTACCTCACAAATACCCAAGGCCTTACATTCGCACTAAACACAATCGCATACAGTGTATCAATCGTATATTGCGGTCACTAACACGCGGCGACTAACCCTCGAGGACGCGTGTTAAAGTTCCTTGTAACATCGTGTTAATTTCGCTTTACCAACACATTTTATCATACATATGCTAATTTTCTCTCCTCGTATATACGATCCCCGAGTATATCGTGTTAACATTTTTCGATCGCCCCTTGTAGAAAACTAGCGGATTTCACTTATTGATTCATGGCTTTTCAGATAAATTGCGTCGGTAGAAAATAAGTTAAACTTTGGGTAAAAGGCAGTTTTGGAATAATAAGTATGACCATCGAATATTTACCAATTACAATGGTTTAAAGGCCCTTATTTAGGATAAGCTTTGATTTTTCGTCTTTTTGAATTCTTTATTACATTTTGTGACAATTTTGTGAACATAAATGCCTCCTACACTTCATCCGTCGTACTGAATTTTTAATCTTTTACACCTACATCATAATAAAATAATTGAGATAAAACATGACAAGGTCAATAAATAAATACAATAATAACTGTGTAAAATATTAATGTAAATTCGATATTTATTCAAATATCGAAACAAAAAAAAAACAACAAAAAAAGAGGGAGGGGGGGGAGGGTAAAATAATTGTTACTTTATAGCCAAGTACAAATCACGTAAGCATGAAATGAAAATTTTTAAGACGATAGAAGACTAGGGAGCTTAGTTTACTCATATGTTTCTTAAGAACTTGAGAAACTTGGGAATGTGTCGAACTATTAAGGCTAAGCATATCCCTCACCTTCAAGGCTCGCAACGAATGAGAATTTAAAGAGGAGAGCATAGCAGACTGACACGCAAACATTATTTAATTATAGATAGAATTTTTCAAAGTAATGAGTAAAATTCAAATGCACTCATAAACTCGTGATTGTGACAATTGTATGATTCAATATTGTCTATCTTCCCTCTAATAAATTATCGCTTAAAATTCAATAAAATATTTGTTCCAAAGATTTTTTTTACGCCCTATTTACCTATCATATTGTATTTTCAATTCGTTGAAGAAATTAAAATTGTTGAATTAAAGAACAATGTACATACTTCAAGTGAATACAGATATTAAAGTTAATTTTACAAACATTTGAATATATGTATTTTTATTGATTTTTTTTTTTTTTTTTTTTCATTTAAAAATAAATAAATTGATGTTTACAAAGAGAGTAGACACGTTCATCCACTATATCTTCCAATTCTCATAAAAATATGAAATAAACAATAAAAAATCATGTATCATGTATTTGTATAATATAATCCAAGCACAACAATTTTAATTCAATATATAAATTTAATGTAATATTTTGTTAAGAGCTTTGAACAAATAATCTAAGATACAGATTTATATGCTTGAATTTGTTATTTTATCTAATGGAACATAATATTTTACCATCTGATTGGAAGGGAAGCTCAAGAGTAAGACTTTTTGATTGAAAATCCCACGTCTCATCTAATACTTATCAAAGATTATTTTTGCATTGAATTTGTTTGTTTAATATTTTGTAAATATATTCATCTTATTCACCTTTGAAAAATTTGTAGTCTATCGATATTTCATAAGTATATGGTATCGATAAAGCATGCCAAGCTTCGTAATATTTGTACTTTGTAAAGAAAATGGTTTCTTTATTTTTAGTTTTAAAATCGAAGAAGAAACGACAAATGCTCGCGTAACTGGAATACGCGCGCGCGCATGTTTGTGCATAAGTACAGGGAAGCAAATAGATATTATAAATAAATGATTATAGGATGATTATTATTAATTATATGTCGAAGAGCAAAATGTAAAAGTTGACTATCATCAAGTAAGAGCGTGAAAACAGTGAGGCATTGAAAGTGACAATTGTCATTGATTCCGTAATTGACGAAATGAATGAGCGCCCAATACCCGAATAACAAAATATTGAAAAATTGCAAGCTCGAAGAAGAATTTCGAGGAAGCGAACGAATGCTACTGGACAAAGGCGTTAAGACAGGAATTCGCATAGGACGGGAAGGTTTGTTTGCCACGTTGTTGTCCAAACAAAATTTTTGAAGAAAAACAAAAGATGGCCGTTGGATAAATCATAGCCGCCGTCGATTGGCGAAAAGTGTAAGCACTAAGTGTGCAGACTGCGCGGGCTCTCGCACCGGGTCGAAGCAAAGATCCGTCGTCTCCTGGGGTGAGATGATCTCGCGCGTGTACGGCTCACGCGCATTTTAAAAACCAGGGAGAGTTATAGCTGGTTTGGCTGGCTTAAGGCTAACAACTCACGGTCTCGGCTTCAAAATCATTCTTTGCCTTTGAGATTTATCATTATTATTCGAGAACTAAAAGTACAGCGGCCCGGCGTGGCGCGATGCTCCGCGTAAGTTATAGCGCTTATTTGGCTGATTAATTAGGAAAATTAATTTTCGTACATGTTGAGAGTTTCGCATTATTCGAGCATCCGTTCCCCATTATTAATCATTTAATCCTATTATTACGATTACTTTTCGTGATTATCATTGCTGTTCTTCGTCATTGTCGTCGTCGTCATCGTCGTCGTCGTCGTCGTCGTGGTTATTGTTGTTGTTGTTGTCGTGCATTATTATAGTTATTATTTCGAAGAATTAAGCCGAATATATACATAATAAATGTTACATAATAAAAGTCGTACGAACACACGAACATCGTTCACGATTCCTGGGTGATTTTTTTATTGAAAATTGTTTAAATAAATTTTCTATCACTGCTTTCAGATGCTATCAAATGCCTAAAATAAATATATATCAATATTTCATATGAAATATAAAATAGCACGAAAAATAATATAATTAAAGTGTTTTTTAATTTTATATTATTCTATTTTCATGTTATTCGGTATGGCTTTGGGGTTGCATGTAACTACAACATTTTAAATTTAATATGAATATCATACACGTGATATTTTTAATACGAAGAATAAAAAGTTATTCATAATTACTCAAACGTTTTTCCTCTAGAAATTAATATGTTAGCATTTGCTTTGCTAGATTTGCATATCTTATACATGTTTTACCAACATTATATATGTTCGACTCCCCACAATAAAAAAATACAACAAATGCTATGAATGGGACGAGGAGGGGTGGTAAAATATTTTCGCAAAGCTATTACAATGAAAAAAGTTTGCTAATATTATTGACATTGTCGTTTAGCATTTTCGAAGCACTGTTCGCGTAGATTTGATTAATCTATAGATGATAACGTAACTCATAGTCTCGTATACTCGGACAGTTGCACTCGATATCTTACCAAAACTACCTTAAGAGATGCACTCCACGCGCAACAAGAGAGAATAACGACCAATTCCGACATAATTTCATTGGGAACAGGCGAGCGAGCGTCTTCTCCTTTTCTCCAGATAGCATAAATTCGCATAAATGCACACGTACAACCGTACGTTACCCCCCTCCCCCCCTCCTCCTTTCAATCCCTCTCTACGCTTCGCTCGCTTCATTATCTATCTCTATCTCTATCTCTATCTCTATCTCTATCTCGTTCTCTTCCACCGCTTCACCCGTATCTCATACGAGATATAAAGAGGAGGCCCCGTGGCTAAACGTACCCTACCTCTCTACTTAGTAGTCCTCGGCAAGATCGCAAACGGTCTCGCGATCTCCCAGTGATAAGATGCAGCCGCGCGTCCACCGGTGACAAAGGGTCGAAGGAACGCCCACGTGTGCGTGCGATGGCGAGTGCCAGTGCGGCATACACTCGCGGGGGCGTGCATATTAAAATGGACCCCCGTTTCCTCTTCGCGCGAAATACGCGAGCAGTCGGAGTGTAAGTTTGTGACGGGATGGGGAAACACGAGGAGTCTACTTATTGATAAGATATTATTCGAAAGAACAACGAGATGCAGAATTGATGAAAAGAACGAATACGAATGGCTTAGAGGTTGTTAAATGGGACAGGTGCTGCATTATTATTAGCAATGGTCCTCTGACCAAGTAGCTAAGTCGATTAACTTAGCTGATCTCGTGGATCTGATGATTATTCATTCGCATTTGATTGATTATTAAGAATAATTTCTAAATATGAAAGAAAAAAAAAAAAAAAAAAACTCATCCGATCGAACGACGTATTTGGCTCTTAGATACTTTTAATCTGTTGTGTGTGAATTCACAATATTCACAAGCAATTCTATTGAAAATTCTATTGATCAATCGGTAACTAATGAACGCGTTGTCCAATTTATATCGCACGATGGCAATTACGTTAAATTAAAATAGTTATCCTATTTTATTGAGTTTATATAAAGAAGGAGCGGATACGAATACAAATTGATGGATTGTTTTGTCGAGGATTAAGTTGTCGAGAGTGGATGGGCTCGTGGGAAGTAGAGGTAATTTTTGCAAATCTTAATTATATTATTTTTCGCAATCATAATTAATCGTACGCTAGTTAGTGATTTATATTTCATTGGTCTGATTTATTTATAATAATAGAATGGCGATAATACATCTGGAGAATGCTCGGCAATTCTTTGGCGAATCCGGGCGAATTTGCGGCAATGTAGGCTAATGCTGCCATCTAAGAAATTGCAAATCAACTAATTCAAAGGAGCGATGGTCATGTAGCGCCATCTTACCTGTGGCCTCGTTGTTAGCCAAAGGGTAACTAATCATCACCGATGTAAACAATTAAACATGCAGTTTGTCGGAAAATAGACATATTTCATGTACATATATTTATTATTTATCTCGAATTTATATAGATAATAAGATGTTTCCATTAAGTTCACAAAAAAAGTATTGGTCGTTTAACGATGAAAATGATATTGCGGTTTTGCGAGAGGAGACGAATGCTGAATTTATTAGTAAACATGGAGCGAGCATGACAGTGAGTCCTTAATTTAAATTATCCATACTTATTGAATAAAAGAGTATTTTTTCAATATATATTGTTTTTATTGCTTAGATGCGAGATCGTGTTGCATTTTAATTTTTCTTATCGGTCGTTTTTAACGCATAATAGGCATCATGTACAGGTTATATTGTGTAATAATCTGGATTTGTTAATTGTAAATTATTCTGTTTGTATTAATGCGCTTGTTCAATTTAGGAAGAGAAAAGGGAAAAGCATTTTCTATCCGTTGGCGAGGAAAGGGTGCTTCAACGATTTTATGAATCTCAACTCAAGGAATTTTGTAAAAGATTTAATCCTCCGATGCCTAAGCCTACTATAGCCACAGCTTTACATTACTTTAAAAGATTTTATCTGAGAAATAGCGTTATGGATTACCATCCGAAGGAAATTTTAGTCACTTGTGTGTATTTAGCCTGCAAAGTATGTTGTATACGTTAATAATATGTCTTGTGGCGCCTTTGCTACCCCAAAAGTTATATCACTTATTTATAATAAACTTTTAGGTCGAGGAATTTAACGTGTCGATATCGCAATTTGTTGCTAATATTATGGGCGATAGAGAAAAGGCATCCGATATCATCCTTAACAACGAGCTTCTCTTAATGCAACAGTTGAATTATAATTTAACTATACATAATCCATTTAGACCCGTCGAAGGCCTTCTAATCGACATTAAGGTGAGTAGACCGTATGATGTTTTGGTATAAAAATTTGGTTACCATTAATGGCCTAGAATGTAGAAATTTATGTAAAACACCAACGATTCTCAGACTAGGTACCCGGCCATTGAAAATCCAGAGAAATTGAGGCCATATATCGATGAATTTTTAGAAAAGGTCTTTCTTACCGATAGTGTATTACTATATGCTCCCAGTCAAATTGCTTTAGCTGCTACATTACACGCAGCCTCCAGTGTTAACGCCAACTTAGATAATTATGTAACAGATATATTGTTCTCCCGAGATCATTTAACAGCCATTGTCGAAGCCGTAAGAAGTGCGTTGAATTTAGTAAAATTACTTACCAAATAATACTATATAATAATAATAATAATGATATATTCCTGTAATATCCAGAAATAAGATCAATGGCAAAATGTGTGGAGTTTCCACCTAGAGATTTGGTAAAGAATTTAGAAAAGAAGTTGGATAAATGCAGAAATCAAGATAATAATCCAGACAGCGATATGTGAGTGACTTTTCAATAAAATATGATTGGCTATCATGGCACCTAAATATTAAATGAATATAATCATACGAAATTGCTCTTATTTCTGTTAGATATAAGCAGCGAATGCAGGAGATGCTCGATGAAGAGGATTTACTAGATAATGAAAAATATGCAAAAATTGTTCAAAATCAAGCCGATCACGATGAAAAGGTCTTAGGAGTTACCAATGTATTATCCCCGACCGATACATAAAATGGAGTATTAAATACTCCATTATTTTTTTCACGTTAAATAATAAAAGAGTGATAGATTTTCCTAGAGCATAGATGTTTGATATTATGCTTAATGGTATATTTATTATGAAGAAGTATGATGTAATAATTTATCATTCGTCTTCCGAGCACAGTAATTACAAAATACGATCGTCATGAAAAAGTATCAGAGACCAAAAGTTTTATCAAATTTTGGAAAAACATTTAATTTCATATTATCTTACAACAGTTTTAAGCTTATATAAAATAAAACGTTCTTAAATTTAAATCATGTACAGTAAAAAAAGAGTTGTGCTTCATTTATGCATTGATTAGGAATTTTGATGCCTGTAATCGAGTCTCTGTGATAAGTTGTAGTTTGTTGGACTGGTCGAATTATTTTGAAAAATAGCTGTGTGTTGTCCATTGGGTAGATTGCTTGACAACGGCTGAATTATCGGCAGAGTCGGCGAAATCGTCAGCGGGGAGTAAGGCCCTGGTAATAAGGAGGAGCCGTGTTGCGGATGCCCAGGATAATTGAAAAACCTAAGCCAAATAGCAATTATTAGACAGCGCTTGACAAAAACTACTGCGATACTGCGATAAGATAAGCGATCTATAATAATAACATTACCACAATCGATCACCAACGAATATCGGCCTTGGTGCATGGATTCCCAGGCTAGAATAGTATTGCTGAGCCAAAAGCTCAACGTCATTCGTGTACTTCCGCTTCCACTTTGTCCGTCTGTTCTGAAACCATATTTTGATCTGAAAAATACGTAGAGACATTATGTGACGGCTATTTGCAAGCTCGCATGCGCAACTTACAAAACGGCCATTAACAATGCACTCGCTCGTCCTCACAATCGAATCTCATCAAATACGTCGCGGACAATCGTCAACGAAATATCCTCGGCGCGAAAAGCCACGCGTTTTTGGATAATATTGTTTGCGAATTTTAACTCATCCATGCGACCGTAAATTGCAAGAAAAAAATTTCAACTCGTATGGCCTCGGTAGCGCAGTAGGCAGCGCGTAAGTCTCATAATCTTAAGGTCGTGAGTTCGATCCTCCCCCGGGGCATTTTTTTTTTTTTATTTTTCTCCAACTATTGTTCATTCGATCCTTGATCGTGACCGCGATCCTTTCCCACGAACGATTATCCATTATTATGATTAATCGGACAAATAGCTATGCTCAATGTTTTCGATCGGGGCAATTTGACGGGAAGAGTATAACAGTATTATAGGGCTTCGTTACGTGTGTACGTGCACGTGTGCGGGGTGGGGTGGGGTGAGGGGGCGTATTATTGCTTATTTTTCAATCGATTCGTCCAAGTCCAAAATGACTTTCTTTTTTTTTTTTTAATGATTTTATCGCAATTGACGCATTGGGCGGATTTACGCCTTTTGCGCCGCGCGCGAGAAGTAACAAACTAGCTCAATGTGTCGTTAATCCATGATAAAATGTATGGTTAATTAAATTGCAAGTATAGTTAAAAGATAGCGATAGTGGGGCGAGACTTTGAACACGCGAGGGTGGCAACGATCAACTTTTGTTAGCGAATGAATAACCGTAATGAAGTGATTGGTAAGTCGTACGAACGATACTGTCGATTCACATCACTATTAATAGTGATCTACATTGCGCAAATAGGAAGGACTATCGATCAGTTATATAATGGGCGAATTGTCGATGATAGGGAAATTTTGTTGCAGTCGGTTGGACGAATGAAAGTTTGTCGTTGGCTAAGCTTCTCATAATTCATTAAATTCACGTGGAGATAATGGAGATCGAGGTAAATCTATTACCGATGATCTACATCGGATTAAATACGATGGTAGTTTAACAATGGTAAATGTTCGAAAGCGTGTTGGAGTCGTTGTTCGCTAGCTAATGTACACACGCGCAAGGGGACGTAAAATCGTCTCTCGAGGCTTGGAACGACGACAGCGTTCAAAAAGGCAAACTACGACTTTCAAGTTTTAAGTAGTTTTGGGAATCTCGGCCCCGTTACCACTTAGCGCTCGGCCGGCAATGCGTCCACTTTTACATTAAAAATAGAAATATTTATAACTAATTGTACTTCTTGGTATCAGCGTGGGCCTCTGGGCAATCGTCAACAAAATCCCAGCGACTAGCAAACGATAGCTAACGATGAAATTAGCTCTCGTTTGGCATAAAAATTTGCTAGTGTCTAAATTGTCGGGCGCATGCGTTTCGTCTAGCGTAGCGTATCCCACCTCTTAAATAAATAAAATGGCCTCGTCCCTGCGCCACATATCAGCTCTATGCCTCGCATCTTTGATCCAAGCGCCTCGTTGAAAGATCAGCTAGGCCCTGATCGAGATAAGGCGAGAAGATGAAGAGGGAGCGAGTCGTGTTCGTGAGAACTGGCGTTGGTGAGGCTGAAGCCAAGACGTAGGCAAGGAGCAGGACTCCGTCTAGAAAAACCTCCCACCGGCAGGCGTACGAAAATAAATAAAGCGTCCGTGTTTAATGGCAAGGCCTGCTCTGCTAATAGAGAGCTCTGGTATCTGGGGTGGGGAGTCGTGGCGACGTCGCGCCCGGCTGATTCGAAATCACCGAGAAATCCGGGAGCCGCATTTGTCGGGGGCAGACCGAGGTGAAGTGGAAGGCTCGAGGAAGCAAGCGCGCGACGCACGGCAATATATCCTAATTAAAAAATCGACGCCTCCTCGGTCCGCCGCCTCGGAACCCGCATCAGCGCGCGAAGGGGCGGTTGGCGATGGCGCGAGAGGGAGGGAAGCACGTTGGGCGGGGGTGCTGAGAAGGGAGGGAAGCCTCTCGAGGAGAGCGAGGGTAAGCTGGTGGTGCGGCTCGTTAAGTCGGAGAAATACGGTGACGTTTATGCCCGCGGCCCGTGTCTTTTCTCTGATCTGTCGCCTCGTTCCGGCCCTTTTAATGCGGAATCGCGCGCCTCGACAATTAACCCGAGGCACTCCACTCGCCTCCTTCCCTCCGTTGTTTGCGCTTTCGCATGATGCGAGCCGAATGAATTGTTTATTTGCGCGCCTCGTGTGATCAGCGCGAACTTTCTTGCCCTGCAAATTAGCGGTATTTTTGGATGGACGGCTCGGCGCACGTATATCGTCGCGGTATTATTAGCGAAAAATGAGCGTTTGCTCGGACTTTATTGGCCGCGTGTACTCCGATTTTTACGAGCGAGATCGCGACGGCTGATTAATAATGGCGCATTATGGTCGCAGAGGACGCAAATCCCGTTGAAAAATCATGTTTTTGCCATGCCCTACGATGCTCGCGAAGCGCTGCATCCCCCATATCCCATCCCTCATCCCCCATCCCCCACCACCCCCACACACACACTCACCCACCCCTCTCTCACGCGTGGCTTAAAATGACAACGATTCCTTTCGCGAGCAATCCTTGCACTCTTAATGCACACGTCGTTGTGCAAAAGTAGATGGACTTATGCGATTATGAATCTACGCTATCTTTGCCTGTATTACGAGACGTACTATGAACGTTGATGATGAGACCGAACTTCGGTAGGATCATTGTAATGATCGTTGTTAAATCTTATTCGTGCTCTTGCTGATAAGTTCATCGAAATAATGTATTTCATAGCGGCGATTATGGAAATATAACAATGAGAAAAAGGAGATGAATGTAATATTCAAAATGTAATTGAGCGAGATGATATTATTGTGTGAAGCAATATATTAACGGTTTCGTTTTATCGGTCATTCTCAGTTTCCAGGTGGAAGTACTTCTAAAATGAAAGGAGAAAGTAGTACTTTTTACATTTACGCGCATTTATTTGTTTAAAAAGTTTTATCGCGCGCGTTATGCCGATCGTTGTTGCTCAATAACGAAACTTCGATACTTCGATAGTAAATTAAAAATTATCATGTAAATGAAACGATGGGCGCATCTCATTCAAATGATATTTAAAATAACCAATGACATTTCGTACTTCGAGCCATTACAATTAATACGTCGCCGTTATTACAAGCGCTTTTACACGTTATCGTGAAACTTTGTATTTGCAATTTTATTATTTTCGTCACACGTTGTTAGACCTTCGAGTATTATAAATTACTCAGCCCACATCTTGGCTAATAAACTAATTAAGTAACGCATTTTTATAGACAATGACAGTGTCTTTATTGTAGCAAGTGAAATACTGTACGGATAATGCTAATAATACAACTGCCTCGTAATTGTGTATGTACACATTCTTTGAATGGATAATTTCTTTTTTTCTATCTTTTTTATCTCTTTTTTTTTTTTTTTTTTTTTTTTTTTTTTTTTTTTTTGCATCCATTTCCCTCGACCGCACGAACCCTGCAATACCATATGCCGAATATTATTCGCAAGCCTACTCGACCCAATTAACGCACTCTCATAATTAATTTGCAATGACGTATCATTAGCCCTTTATCTCCTTGCAATTAGTCGGATAAATATCCGGATAATGATTATTGTACAAGAGCTCGAAAGAGCATTCCTTCATCTCCACCTCCGTCACATCTCCTGACGATGACGACGACAACGACTGCCCGCCACTGCTAAAAATATCAGAACATTATATTCATTAAGCAATGCGAGCGAATAATTAAGGGCGCGAGTGTCTTAAAAACAAAAACAAAAACAAAAGAAAAAACAAAAAAAAAAGTAAACAAAAAAATTGTTGCTCCAGGCTCCCGGGGCTCGTCGAGCAGACGGTGCCGAACCTGAGGTGCTAATTGGTCATGCGAAGCTCGTGGCGCCGCGGTTCCTTGGCGCCTGTGCAGCACGCACATGTGCTGCCGCGACTCATAATTCAAGGGACGCGACGACGACGTCGACGTCTCCTCGTCCCCAGGCTTCGCACGCAGGATACAAAGGGGGGAGCCCCCGGGCCACAGCTTCTGCACACACAGCCGGCAGTGCCGCTCCCGCTGACGTCTCTTAACCTTTTTCAGGTGGCCAGAGCCGCGGTGGGCGAGTCTCGCGCTCGGCGATTTATTATCCCGCGAGGCGGGCCAGACGTGCTTTTTTTTTCTCACTCCAACTTCCGTGTGAGGCGCGACCCTCGTCGCGAGCCCTTTAATTTACGAATGACACACGGTCGCTTTTTTCGATAGATACATCATCGCTCGGGCTAATGAATTTTTATACGTACAAGCCGGGACTTCATCCCCCACTCCCTCTCCTAACGCTGTCACAGTCACGTCACTCTATCCTTCTCGGATAACGCTGAGTCATGGTTGAGATAATTGGCCGCGTCTAAATGCGTTTATGACATTTTCGATTGGCATTATTACGCTCGTGGGAGAAGTATTTGCTAATAAACCTCAACCGTGGAGATAATTTTAAACATTTTGCTGGCCATTCTGTTATTGTTCATATAAGAGGCTTTCCAAGTCCCTTGGCCGATGGGCTCATCACGTGCATGTCACAACTTTCACAATCGAATTGCCAATCTTTGTCCCGAATTTGAGAGTCGCCGGGCCTACAAGTCTAGGGGGGGGGGGAAGTTTCCGTCCTTCCAACGAGCCACGCAATTCACGAGGACATTTGATTGGATTTTGACTGGGGTTGGGCGGACGAGCGGGCCGTAAAACGAGAGTCGAAAGTCCAAGATACCTGTGTCTCGGTGAGCTTGAGCGCTTTGCTGAGCTGGAGCCTCTTGGCGACGCTGAGGTACTTATTCCTCTCGAACTCTGCCTCCAGGGATTTGATTTGCGAGGCGGTAAAAGCCGTTCGCGGTCGCTTCTTTCGATCGTCGTCACTCGCCGCGCTTGAGCTGCGCTCCGGTAAATCCCCATCCTCCAATTCCAGTGCCGACGTCGAGTTCGAGCCATAGTTGCTTTTGCACGGTTCTGTACAGACGCATCGAATGCCAATGAATTTTTAGATGTTTCGTTGGATAAAGAGGTCGGGCGATCGCGTTTGTTAATAAGAATCCTATTCTTAAGAATTCGACGGCAGCTCAAAGTTTTATTATGCGCGACTGTTGGACTTTGAACGGTGGACTTTGAATTTCAATATCTCTCCAGTTTGCGGATTCGCCAATATAAAACCTAAGAATTTGCCTATGTGTGAGTTTTGAGATTTTTGTTATTGTACCGTATTTTTTGTTTTCGTTTTCGTTTTTGTTTCTGTTTTTGTATATATATATATATATATATATATATATATATATATATATATATATTACCCATTTACTCTAAGAAGCCGTTAATTAATGTTGAAAGAGCCACTCGTCTCTACATCGCTACATATTATCGTTGATTTATCGTGACGAATGCGTTAATTTTTAACCGTCGCACTTAGTAATATCTAGAATTACTAGTGGCTAAAATTTTTTATTTATGAACTCGGTTTAAATATACTAAAAACACTATAAAACAATTAAAACAGTAGAAGAAGTAGGTGCTAAGATAAACTTAAAAGCATGTTTTGCGCGCTTAGCGACGCGGGGCAGCTCGATTAGCTGCAAGAATTTCTAGTCTCATCAATCTGCCCCTCCTCTCGCCGCTTTCGCGCAATCTCACCAAATGTTGTTTATATTTATACTTATCCCCCCGTCTTGGTAGGCGTGTCGAGCGTGAGCCCCGCGACGCTGCAGCAACGAAGTGGCTGTTGCTTTTATAGCCGCTTCGGGCTTTAAAGCTCCGTCGCTCCTATCCTTTTCTCTTGCCCTCGCGCCGCGTATATATCGCCTTCTAATTATCTAGTCATTCGTCATCTCTTGAAAAAGCTCGCCATCCCGCGCTTCTAACGAAGACGTGCCCAATTTCATTTACGAGGACATGGAAAGCGCGCCGTCGTTGACTGGGATCGAGCTTGCAAAGCTCGCCGCTGATTGCTTCATCGACTCGGGGTGATCGTTTTGGGTAAACTGGCCATGTATACACTGTGTAAGGATGAAGCGAGAGCAAAAGTTACATCCTGCTTGTGTTTTGAGAAATGACTAACGGACTAATTCAATTTTATTTTTCTTCTTCTTCTGTTTTTTTTTCTCTTTCTAGCTTTATTGGCGAATCCCGTACTGCCCTTACTGTATCAGACATGATTTAGGGAGCGTGAAAGACGCATCCTGTTTGAGATTAAGAAATATCGGCTTGAAGATGACGAAGACGAAGATTATTCGCTACGTCGTGTATTCTGTTATTTCAGGTTTACTATTTATGATCATATTCCTATCGACTAAATGCCTATTTTTAGATGCTGCGATCCATCCAATGCGAATGACAGACAATTGTGCCGATTAAATGCAAAGTAAATCTATAGGATGCGTCTACGCGTTAATATACGATGGTTTTGCTATGCATTCGTTTACCATTCATTGGTCAACTAATTAAAATTGCGTTTGCTAGGACACGATTGAAAAATTGAATGCATAGTCAAGTCGAATTTTCCAATAAGTGGAACTTAATCGCCAATAACTTGGCGATTGTAATACTTTTGCTTATTGTATTAAAGTATTAAGAAACACGTAACTTTAGTCGTGAAATTTAGCTCGTGAAATTGTTTTTGAGAACAACAAAGTGGAAAGCGAAAAATAAAATGTATTTATTTTTAAAAACTGTTTTTCATCTCGACTAACGAGCTATTCTTTTCTTAAAGATTTAATGACAAAAGCTAAGGCGAAGAAGACATCCAACCCTAGCCGTATGTAACTCGCTAGTCGAGACAGTTATTTTTACAAAAATGTCAATGCATCAAAGGTCGGCTTTTTCGTAATTGTCGGTGTAATTTAGGGGGGGGGGGGAAATCCCGTACTTTAATAATGAACTTAATGCCATTGTTTTACAATTTTAGTGTATTTGAAATTTTCAACGAGCTTTCCATTTAAAATCTTGCCAGCTGAACATTTCGTTGGCGTGATTTAAATTGTTCGAACACATTTGTCACGAAATATCATGTAAATTTTAATGAAATGCATATGTTATGTAATTTCAGCTTGACACATATATATATATATATATTACGCATACTTTTTCAATATTTGTCATGCACATGTGTCTCGTGCTTTTGAAAATTCTCAAAGGAAAGGATATCGATTTTACACGATATGAACCAAATTTCTATATTCCATTTACGAATGAATGCACGCAAGATTACAGTCGCATACTTTTACAAATTATCAAACAAAAAACAAAAAACAAAAAAACAAAAAAACAAAAAAAAAATTGCCTCTGCAATTGTATATATTATTTTAAAACCGTGAAACTGAAAAAGCTAATGAAAAATCATAAACTTTAAATTCAAGACGCCAAATCGTCCACTAATGTAATTGATACTTTTGAGTCCATTGCTTTTTTTTTTTTTTTTTTTGTTAACTGTCAGGCAGCACGACAAATTCCGCTACAAAAGTTCAGGTGGCACTTCGTCGTTAGCGATGCGAGACCAGCGCAATAAATATCTCGAAAAACTATTCGTGGCGGGGAGATGCATCGCGATATGCGAAGAAACGTTTACCGGCTACTAATTGTCAGATGGCGACGTAATTGTCGAGTTCTCTCTCTCTCTCTCTCTCTCTCTCTCTCTCTCTCTCTCTCTCTCTCGGGTTTTTGTCCCCCTTCCGCACCCCGCACCACCGCACCATACGAATGTTCATTTTGGGGCCGAGGAGACGACGTTAAAAGCGTAACGTCTTTAATCACTCAGTGTAATAATCCAATCGCTCCTTGCGAATTTATGGCTCGAATGCCCAAGTTTTTATTTATTTATTCATAATTTAGAAATTCTTTGGATATACTTAACTGTTGTGTGAATTATGTTGGAAACTAGTATCACGCAAAAGTACTAGTATAGCTTAATGGCAACAAAGTAGAAACTGAGAAGAGGATAATTTCACCGAATAATGTATAACGGTACAAGATAAATGTAAATAGCCGCTATTAATAAACAACAAAATGAGTGGTACACTAACTATTCTTGGTAGCCAGCTTTTTAATAATAAACATTTAATAATAAGTAGATAAGATTTCTAAGGACATCTTGTAACCAATGCTACACATACGGATCGTTATCATTGTTGTTTTTTCTTTGTTTTTGTTTTTAACATAAAATTCATTTAAACGTTTGCAGTTCGCGCGTAGCTAGACTTAAAGAATCGAGCAAAGCACTAGTTGAAAACTTAAAGCTCTCAAGTATTTGGCTACTCTACAATACCTAAATAATAAAATACTCTAGTTAAATTATTTGTATAAAAATCCATTTGTTTTGTCGTGACACAAGAATACTCGAAAAGACGGACGATAAATATTTTGCTGAAGATTTAATTGATTGTATAGTTAATAGAACGAACACATTGTCGTTCAATTATTCGGAATTATATTATTCGGTGATTTGTGTATCCTACTTTTCCGAATTGTCTGAATTTAATTTCGGATAAAATAAGGGAGTTTGAGTGAAATGCTATTGCCGGGACAATGATCGAGGTGATGTTCGAAAAATTTTTTTATTCATAATTGAATAATTGAATAAGCGAAGAATGAAGGAGCAGCGCCTCATCATCTTGTACATTGAAATGGAAATTATTTTTACGCTGTTAAAGACCATTCCAAAAGCATCACTTTTTGAGCAGTGTTGAGGAGAAAGACTCGAGTATAACATGGCGCGGTGAAAACAAGGGAAATGTAAAAAGTGCGATGGTTAAAAAAGCCGAGGCTTCGAAATTTCCGCGTTCGGGAGTGCGTGGAAATGGGTGGGGTTGCCGTTCATTTGTCGTCGAATTTTCCTTTCTTTCTCGCGGGCATTGACGAACGAGCTCCGAGAAAGGAAAAGCGCGAAGATATAGGGTTCGGGAATAAAACTGGCACACGAGGGACGTGAAGAGGGCGGGTGGGGTGAGTCGCATAGGGAGGAGATGGAGGTGATGGAGGAGGAGGAGGTGGAGGAGGAGGAGGAGGAAGAAGAAGGCGAATGGTCGAAACAGGAATAGAATGTAGCGCCACGCCTTAGAGTTTACCTAATTGCTGAGAGCCACGCCGAGCTTGTCTCCTAATTATTTGCTGATGAATGGATGGAGGAAGCCGCGCGATAAAGTGCGCCTAATTCTCTGTCGTGAATATTTCGCGTTTACTTAGCTGGGACTTTTATTTGTTTGTGCCTCGTCGTCTTTTTTATTGCAACGCGACGGACTATTAGGGGCCAATTTCGCTTGAATTCTAGTCGGGCTGGAGGCCTAGGGACACTTGGGCTTCTAAATACAATAAAGAGCGAATGAAGAAATTATTTATTATTGCGCCCGGCGAGGAATGTACAAAACTATATTTTCAAAGAATTAGGCGCACGTCGACGTTTAGTCGGGAATGCAAAGGGAGTTACTTAAAAATAAAATTGTTTATAAACAGGGAAGACGGCCGGTTGTTTATTTATAAGTGCATGTTTACTATTTAGGAGCTTGAATAATTTTATACGTTGTATAATGGGCGTCGAGCTGTGTTTACAGTTTTGAATCTGAATATTAAGCGCGGAACATTGAAGGAAATTACTGACAACTTGATGTCGTGAATTCATATGATTGGGCATCCCATGTAGTTTAATTAAGCGAGTACTTTGATTGATAATGCACATGCATTAGGCTCTACGGAGGTTCTAATAAATTTTTCAATTTACGGACATAGAAACAGCATTCCGGTTACACTATTATAAATCACACTAGAAATTCCTTGTATCAAGAATTACGAATAAATATGCAAGAAAATTTGAACGAAACGAGCCTAATTTTAATCTAATTATTAGAAACGTCAATATAAGTGGTTAAGTAATTAGAAAAATATAATTAAAAATTATTAAATACTTGAAAATAATTGAGCGTAAAAAGCGATACTTTTTGTGCAGTATTAATGGTTTTAAGGTTTTATTTTGTTTTTGTTTTTGTTTTTTTCTTTCTTTTAATATTTATCTGCATATTCGTATCTGTGCAGTATTTTGTTTAAACGATTTATCATTTTAATCATTATACAAGATTATCGTAATATTACGAATATTTAGGATTTATAGATGCATTTATAGAGATAGTAGCGATATTAATCTAATCATAAGCAATATTAGTGTAATGAATAAGAATTCTACACAAATCTGTACGAATGAGGTTGAGATTGAAAATTTTTCGGGAAATCAATCAGGGAAATGATAAGAAGGGATAATGATGAAATTTTGAGCATACCCCTATAAGTACCATAAACATAGTAGAAAATATAATCTAAAATACATTAAACGATCGGCTTTAGATCGGCGT